AACAAGCCCAACCAGAACCGTTGAATATAACGCAAAAACTCAAAAAGACTCTGGAAGCGATGAGCGACTCCGCTCACCATACAACTTCCTCCATGTCCCACACGATTAGTGAAGCTCTACATATCTGAGAGAACTAGAAAATCATACTAGTAGCTATCATCCTAACAGTGATTGTCCCCGTTCTTTTGACGCCATGTTGTGCCAAGCTGGGACCCACGGTCCTTACAAACTGTCTAATAATAATTTTCAGACTCGTACGAGCAATATTCTGGCTGTTCGGACGACTACTTACAGCCGGTTGCGCATGCATTGGTAACAGCCTACAAATCGCAATAAACACCAACCGACGGCGCACACCAAACTCTCGCTGGCATACAAATACATCTATACGCTTCCACAATATTCCACCAGCCGAAACAGACCTGGAACTATCCGACCAGTCTCCACGGGGCAAATATTACGTACCACAAGCCCGATCCTCCACTCTGCGAAGACTACGAGAACAACTCTTAAACGGTCGGCCGGCGGCATCTGCCAGCAGCAGAGCCAGCTGAATCACAATAAGGAAGAAGGAGAGGAAGGGACTATAAAATCTTTTACAATTTTTGAAAAAAAAATAAATAAATAAAAAATAAAATAAATAGATATTAAAATGATAATTAGCAAACAAAATTATATATAAATTTTAGCTCTTTCATTTCAAAACTTCTCTGTTACTGCACTTTTATCAAAAAAGAAAGGAAACCAAAACAATTTTTTCTTTTCCCACAACAGGAATTTTTAAATTCTTTTATTTCTTTTACTTTCCTTTCCTTTTTCCCCGGGCACCGCAGGGACTGGGTCGTTCCGAAGAACTACCGAGACCCCCTGTCTGAAGCAGTTCCACCACCAGCTCCAACTTCCCGAGAAAAACGGCTGGTCGTCTTGCATTGCGTGACTGCAGAAGGATTGGTGAAAGGTGCCGAGGAGGTGTTGATATCGGGGCAACGAAACGAAGATGGAGACTACCACCGGGACATGAGCTTTGAGGTTTATAAAACCTGGTTCACCCGCCTTGCTGCAACGCTGAAGACGAACTGCAGCAGCAAGAGCGTCGTCCTAGTGCTCGATAATGCCCCGTACCAGTCGAAGCGACTCGATCGAATCCCCACCTCAGCGGATACCAGGGATATCATGGTGGCATTCTTGCAGCAACACGAAATTCCCTTTGATCCGTCGTGAACGGCTTAGGTTGCCCAGCCAGAAACGCCATCTTTGACAATGGCTGTCCAGTTTTATAAGGATCGAGACAAGCCTGAGTTATTGAGTAGCTGTGGCTTTTGCAGAGGAAACCACTACCACGACCACCGCAATCAGTACGGAACTACAAAAGAAAGAATCGACAGAGTGAAATACCTGAAACTCTGCTGTTAATGTTTACGATCAGGTCATGTTTCAAAATTGTGCCGAACAAGAATCAAGCCATGTTTCTATTGCAAAAAATACCATCTCAGCGCTTTATGTCCGGTACACAAAGCCCAAGAAAATTCAGCTCATCAACAGCAATCTTCCATAACTGCCGCACTAGATGATCAGTCAAAAACAGGTGCTGTCGACGCTGTAGCAACTCAGTTCGCGACAGTCGCAAGTGTCAAGTCCCCCAATAAATCTCAAGTGTTGCTGATGTGTGGAGAAGTAGAAATTTACAACCTTCCACAGCGTAAAAAACAAGTACTGGTTTTTTTTGACAGTGGAAGTCAACATTCGTATATTGACCAAGATTTGGCCAAACGGCCTGGCCTTATTGTATCAAAACAAAAGGAGCTACTTGTGTTCACCTTTGGAGCAACAAGACCAAAAAAGATGCCGTATTACGAAACCGAGGGAACGTTGGCATTAGAGAACGGTGAATCGAGTCGGGCAGTTATGACGTACACGAATTTGGACGTCAATCATTTCTGGGAACTTGACTTAATTGGAATAAGAGACAATGAAAGCAAAACTGAGGACCAGCAAGTCGTTAGAGTTTCTTGACAAGACGGTGACTAGAGACGAAAAGGGCCGTTACAGTGTTTTGTGGCCTTGGCGAGCACAAACCCCGCACTTTTCAGACAACTTCGGTTTATGTTTGGGACGCTTAAAGTCGCTGATGAAACGCATGCACAAAAATGTTCTTCTGAAGGAATACGATAAAGTCTTCGAAGATCAGCGTGAACGAGGGGTTATTAAAATTGCTGACAGAATCGACGGAAAGATGGTTCATTATCTTCCTCACCAGGCGGTTATCACACCGAAGAAGCGAACAGCCAAACTCCGGATCGTGTTTGATGCCAGTGCGAAGTCAACGGCAGGAACCAGTCTAAACGAAGCCCTCTACCGAGGCCTAGTGATCATACCACAGCCCTGCGGAGTTTTGTTAAGAGCACGAAGTTCACCGAATATTATCGTGGGAGATATAGAAAAGGCCTTTCTCCAGATCGCTCTTGACCCAGAAGATCGTGACGTCGCACGGTTCCTGTGGTGAAAGAGATTGCTAAACCTCCAGAACGAGAAAACTTAATCATTTATTGATTTGCCAGAGTCTTGTTCGGAGTGGTAAGCAGTCTATTTCTTCTCGCAGCTGTTATACAACATCACCTCAAGCAAGATAAATCTTGGTTAGCTAACGCCATACGATAAAATCTGTATGCTGACAACCTATTAATTGGTATGGAGAATGATGATAGAAAATATGAAATATACGGAGATTCTGAACGTATATTTAAGGCTGCATTTATGAACCTAAGAGGCTTCTCCTCAAATGATCCTGAGGTTGTGAGTAGGATACGTAAATCAGATCAAGGGAATGCGATAGAGCAATCGCTTTTGGGACTCATCTGGAACACCAAGGATGAAACTCTAGGCATTTACCTGAAAGCTTTCAAGGGGAAAACGAAACGAGAAATGGTACAGTTTATCGCGTGTCACTTCAACCCCCTAAGCATATTAACCCCAATATTCCTCCCTTGGAAGGTACTCTGTCAAGAGCTCTATATCAATAATGTTCAGTGGGACGACGAAATCCCATTAAATCTTAAGAACAAGTTAGAAGTCTTGAAGAAAAATTGAAAAAATAGACAAATAACGGTTCCACGACAGGCACTGAGTAGGCAGTCATTCGTGAAACTCCACCTTTTTGTCGACGCTTCTCAAGTCAGTTACGCGGCAGTCATTTATGCAAAAGCTGGAATCAAAATTAATATAATCTTTTGTAAAACACGCGTAATGCCTGAAAAGAAATTAACGATTCTAAGAGCAGAACTAATGACAGCTTTAATCGGGAAACGAGCATTAGACTTTGTAATACAAGAATTGAAGCTCGAGAATTACACTCGCTACGCGTGGTCAGACTCAAAGTGTGTACTAGCATGGTTAGCAACTAAAAATGTCGATAAACTTCCATAATTCGAAAGAAACAGGGTAGATAAAATTCAAAAAGGTAACCTGAGTTTTTGTTATGAGCAAAACCAACTGAGCAAAACCCAGCCGACATTGCTACTAGAGGTATAAGCTCAGAAGAAATCGTGCATTTAACTATGTGGTGGAACGGACCGTCTTGGCTAAGCCAAAATAAATTCAAATAGCTTTTATGCGAGGCAACCGAAGAAAAGACTGGAGCAGAAGAAACTTAAGTTGTAGTTAGTTTAGCAGTAAAAGATCACAACCTTGAACCCCTCTTCGAGACAAGCAAAACAAGGAAGTGGTCAAAAATGGTCAGGTGCGCGTGCTTGGTGTTAAAGTTTCTAGATTTTGTTAGAAGAAAAACGGGAGTTTCCTTGCAATTTTAGCTGGAAATGTTCCCATTCAACAACGAGCAGAAACAATTTTGCTGAAGCAAGCACAACTACAAGTGACAAAAGATAATATTCAACTTTGGAATCTAGAAAAAAACAAGTTCGGTCTATGGAAGGTGATGGGCTGTCTCAGTCAACTGAAACAACAAGAAACCCCAATATTCTTGCTAAGCAAACATCCTTTTATGCAAATGCTTATCATCGAGGCTCATAAAAAAAGTGGGCACTTTTGTGTAACGCACACACTCTGTCAATTCAGAGAGCGCTTTTGGACTGAAAAAGGAAGGCAGGCAACTAAGAAGGCCTTAAAAGAAGGATGTTACCACTGTCTCAGGTTTATCACAAAACCATTTATGCTTCCCAATATGGCTCAGCTACCACTCGAGCGGTTAGTGGCTTCTAGGCCCTTTCAAAAAATTGGGATAGACTACGAGTCACTGTTTGCATTTGCACAAGAATGAGTCTGCGGCTAGTTCCAGTTGAGGATCTGAACGTCGACATCGACGGAAGGTAATAATTGTTTTCTGATTGTTTGCGTTAGTGTAATTGTATAGTTACAGATGGAAAATACTTGGTCGACTAAGTAGTAAAAAAGAGAAAATACGTGATGTTAAAGGTGGACAAATAAAAGTTTTTTATTTTGAATTGACTAACGATACGGGGCATACAATGCAGATAGTGGCGTTTAACGGTGAGGCCGAAAAATACTACAACGAAATCAAACTTGGAAAGGTAGTATTTTAATTCCAGATATGCTGTTTACTGCTTACATGTATTGTGTTTGCAGATGTATTATGTTGGTGGAAGCAAAATGAAGAACTGTGACAAAAGCTTCAATACAACAAACCATGACTATGAAATTTGGCTGAAATGGTCATCACAGGTTTGTGCTATTTTTTGAGACCTGCGTGTAATTATCAACTGACTGATCGTATTTTTCAGGTCGTACCGTTCAAGAGCGAGTCAGGAAAGCGAAAGCTTAATTTCACTTGAAATTTATGACTTGTGTGTAACACTTCTCTCATGTAATACTGACAAAAGAATTGTATATGTGTTAGATTGTAGAAATAAACATTTACTGAAATAAAACTGTCTGTACAGCAATAATCGGCATGTAGATGGCGACAACACACGTGTTTTCAGTTGACAAATCTGCTTTATTTTCAGCCGTACTTTTTAACTAAATTAAAAGTAACCGCTAGAGGTACAATCTCCCCGTCCATCCCGTATAACTTGAATTTTGGAAATCGTAAGTTTATGAGAGCATATCATGACTTGTTTGTTAATTTGGGATTTGGACCAAATTATTCAAATGGACTAGATTATTTGAAATTCTCTTTTTACTACATAGTATTTTCAGTAAATCTAAATACCGCAAATGACGATTCCGCAGAACTTGAATTGATTAAATGTAGTAGCACTACACTGTATATGTATTTTAAGAAACCTTTACCAGAAGAAAGTATTCAGGTTATCGTAAATGCTGACTAGGACGTTGTATTAACAATAGACAGTACACGTTAAGCATTGACTGACGGTAAGACAGAACGAATTCTACGCAGATATCAGGGGTGCTTAGCAGAAACCTGTCAATCAAACATTATTTTTTAGATATTTTCCATCCGATAAATTGTCTGAACCTCATTTCTCTCCGTGCTGTTTTGTTGTCAATACACTTCCATCGTACAGGTCTGCTACTTTGGTTGGACATTGGGTATGCTTTTATTTGGAATCTCCTAATGTGGCATATTACTTCGACAGTCTTGCTCAGGCAGAAAAATACGATTTGAGAAAATTTTTGTCAGAATATAAATGTGTTTATGAAATTGCTCATGCACTTCAGTCTGACGTTACTGATAACTGTGAATGTTAAATTATTTTCGTGTTGATTAATATGTGATCTGCATTTAGATACAATACAATTTGCAGTGAAAAGACGTCGGCATTGGTGCCGGATTTGTATGTAAGTTATTTCTGTGACGTGCCTTGTGTTTTTGAATAAGGTGATGCCTAATGAAGATATAAATAGGTTTGCCAAAGTCGTTGTATACATTTACACAAAGATAAGCCTGCGGTTACTTCTAGAGAACGGTCTAAACCCTGATGTCGCCGGGGGAGGGAGGCGGTGGGAGGGAAAGTAAGGTGATATTTATTATTTTTTTTTTGGTCTGCATTAGTGCAGCTGCATAGTTACAGGACAAGTAAGGTCTGAGAAGGCTGTTGGATTGTCAATACACTTCTCAATTCAATCAAATTCTC